CTTCCCATTTATGGCGCAAGGCCACATGATCCCAATGATTGATATTGCAAGACTCTTGGCCGAACGCGGCGTAATCATAACCATTATCACAACACCTGTTAATGCAGCAAGATTCGAACCCGTTATAGCCCGTTCTGTCCAATCTGGACTCCGTATCCGCCTGGTTCAGCTTCAGTTTCCAGGTGTAGATTCAGGACTAATCCCAGCAGGGCAAGAGAATATTGATCTTCTGCAACCAGTTGGATTACTCCTTAATTTCTTCAAAGCAACCAACTTGTTTCAAGAACCGGTCGAGAGATTATTTGAGGAGCTATCACCACCACCGTCCTGCATCGTCTCCGATTTCTGCTTGCCGTATACAAACAAAATCGCCGGTAAGTTTCAGATACCTAGAATTTCCTTTCATGGAACAAGCTGCTTCTACCTTTTGTGCATGCATAATATCATGGCAGATGGATTTCTTTCTAAGATTGTCGAGACTGTAACCTCCGACTCCGAGTATTTCACTGTGCCAAACATGCCGGATGAAATTAAATTTACAAGAGCACAGATACCAATACCCACTGATGAAATCTGGAAAGAGAGTAGAGAGGAGATATTAGAAGCAGATAAAGAATCATACGGGGTGATTATGAACACTTTTGAAAAAATTGAAGCAGAGTACGTCAGAGAGTACAGAGAGTTAAAAAGAAAAAAGGTATGGAGCATTGGACCTCTTTCTCTCTGCAACAAGTCTGGTTTAGACAAGGCACAGAGAGGGAAGAAAGCTGCAGTTGATGAACATCAATGTCTCAGCTGGCTTGATTCTCAACAACCAAGCTCTGTAATCTACGCTTGTCTTGGAAGCATCAATAACGCGCCACCGGCTCAACTGATAGAACTAGGAATAGCCTTGGAGGAATCAAACAAACCATTCATCTGGGTGTTAAGAGAATGGAATAGCCTAAATGGAGTCCGGCAATGGATTTCAGATTATGGATTCCAGGAAAGGATCAAGGGACGAGGGTTTCTGATAAAGGGTTGGGCTCCACAAGTGTTGATATTATCACATCCCGCCATTGGAGGATTCTTAACTCACTGCGGATGGAATTCCACCATTGAAGGAATCAGTGCTGGTGTACCGCTGATAACTTGGCCGCTGTTTGGAGACCAGTTTTGTAATGAGAAACTGGTTGTGGAGATACTGAAAATTGGTGTCAGTGTGGGAGTAGAGAAGCCTTTCCGGTGGGAGGAAGAACATGTTAGCGTGTTGGCGAAAAAGGAAGATATCAAGAATGCTATTGACAAGGTGATGGAAGAAGATGAAGAAGGAGAGAGGAGAAGACAGAGAGCTAAAGAGCTTGCAGAAATGGCAAAGAAAGCTGTTGAAGAAGGAGGATCTTCTCATCGTAATTTAACAATGTTAATTGATGATCTTAAGCAGCAATCATCAAACTAAATTATTTACTCTAAAAAAATATCCAGAAAATTGTGACAAATTATGGGTGATTGATTACTCAATCTGATATCACCTAATTTTTAGTTAGTAAGAAGAATTTATATAAATATTATTAGAGTACGTGCTACCTTACCTTGGTAATTTTAAATTGTTAAAATTTTGAAATTTATAGATGTTTGGATTATAATTTTTATTAATAAATAAATAAAATTATCGGACATTAACTGAGTGGTATGTATATATATATATATATATATATATATATGTTGTTCATAATAAATATAAGAGTACGATTTAATTTAAACCATTACTTTTTTCCGATCTTTCAAAGCAATTTCTTTGGAGAATCTTTTAGAAGAGTCAAGCAATTTTTTTCTATTATTACAATAATTTAATTGACAAGTAACACATATTCAAATATCTTAAATTATAACTTTTCAAACATATATTTATTACTATTTTTTTTTTTAATAGATATACATACGACATCAATAAATTATACATTTACATCAATTATAAAATAATAAAAAATATTAAATAAATACAGGGATTAAACTATTAAATTTTTTTTTTTTTTAATTGAAAATGGAACTTTATGTTCAAAAAATCATTTAGTTTCACGATTCTTTTCCACCTCTACAAATATAGCAAAATCCTATCTTTTGAGGAGAGAAAAATGTGTGGATTCCAAATCGTTTTAAAATATTTATATACATATACCTATTAAATTGGAATTTTCTAAATCTAGACTGATATATATGGCCGCTGAATTTGATCTTTAAAAGTTCGTCCTTCAGTTTGGGACCTCATCGTTCTCATGTAATCAAACAAGAATGCTTATGTCTGCTATTGCATCACCCATCCGCTAAAGTGCCTTGGAGACCAAGCTTGAGTCTTCTTGCCTATACATATATATATGCATCTCCACGTACATACATATATCACACTCGACTTGGAGAGTCATTTTAGTCCATCAGTGTCAATCTAGCAGTTCTCATCATCAATCCAGAACTGCCATGGACTCCCATGATAATCAAAACCAGAAAAAGCTTCACTTCGTCTTGTTCCCATTCATGGCGCAAGGCCACATGATCCCCATGATTGACATAGCCAGAGTCTTGGCAGAACGTGGCGACCTCATCACCATCATCACAACGCCTGTAAATGCAGCCAGAGTTGAACCCGTTATAACCCGAGCTGTACAAGCTCATGGCCTCCATATCCGTCTGGTTCAGCTCAAGTTTCCATGTTCAGAAGTGGGATTACCGGAAGGGCTTGAGAATTTCGACATGCTGGATTCGTTTGACTTAGATTTATCCTTGAAGTTCTTCGAAGCGGCCAATATGTTAGAAGACCAAGTTCAAAGATTGTTTGATGAGGAGCAAATTTCACTTCGGCCTTCCTGTCTCATCTCTGATTTCTGCTTGCCATATACCAAAAACATTGCGTCCAAGTTCAAGATACCCAGAATTTCTTTCCATGGATTCAGCTGTTTCAGTCTTTTGTGTTTGGAACGTTTATATTCGTCCAAGATTCTTGACACGGTAACGTCGGATTCAGAGTACTTTGTTTTGCCAAACTTGCCTGATAAAGTTGAATTCACGAAAGCCCAGCTGCCAGTACTCAGTAAAGACACCTGGAAAGAGATGCACAAGAAAATGGGCGATGCAGATAAAGATTCCTACGGGGTGGTGATTAATACTTTTGAAGAAATGGAAGCAGAATACATCAGAGAATACAGAAAGGTGGGAGGAGGCCGCAAAGCGTGGTGTATTGGACCTCTTTGGCTCTGCAACAAGACTGGGTTGGATAAGATTCAGAGAGGTAAGAAAGCCGCCATGGATGAACATCAATTTCTTAACTGGCTTGATTGTCAGGAACCAAGCTCTGTAATCTACGCTTGTCTCGGAAGCATCAGCAATGCCCCACCTGCGCAAATGATTGAACTGGGATTAGCCTTAGAGGCATCAAACAGGCCATTCATCTGGGTAATAAGAAACTGGAAGAGATTAAACGAACTGGAAAAATGGATTATAGAAGATGGGTTTGAAGAGAGGATCAAAGGACGAGGACTTCTAATAAAGGGTTGGGCTCCACAAGTGTTGATATTGTCACATCCCGCCATTGCTGGATTTTTAACTCACTGTGGATGGAACTCCACCATTGAAGGGATTACCGCCGGCTTGCCGCTGGTAACTTGGCCGCTGTTCGGAGATCAGTTTTTAAACGAGAAATTGGCTGTGCAGATTCTGAAAATTGGTATAAGTGTTGGAGCGAAGGAGCCATTCATGTGGGGAGAAGAAGATAGGACAGGAGTTGTGGTAAAGAAAGAAGATATCAAGAATGGTATTGAGAAGGTAATGGATGAAGGTGAGGAAGGGGAAGAGAGAAGACTACGAGCTAAAGAGTTTGCGGAAATGGCAAAGAAAGCTGTTGAAGGAGGAGGATCTTCTTATCTTAACGTCACTAAGTTTATTCAAGATATTATGCAGTACGGACAAAATTAAAAGCCACTCATCTATAGATAGGAAAATTATTATGATTATCATTTTCATTTTCTGAAACAAAAATTCATAATAATCTATTTTGAAATTTATAATTACTCCTCTAATCTTGTTATTATTGATGGAAATAGAAATAAGTCAAATTTTATTTTTATAATTTTTATAGAAAATAAAAATAAAGTAATAGATTTATATTCTCTTTGCACGATGATAATTCGTGGTTAATTAATATATAGTATAATGTTGAAATTATAAAATCTTCTTTGTTTCTACTTTCAAACCGATGGTATAATTATTTGATGGTGTTTTCTTGGTATATTTATTTATATTATTAAATATCTTATCCGTTAGTAAAATTTATTAAATAAATATTTAATCCAATCCAAAAGAACTTTATATTAAATCATACAATTCGCAGCCCAAAATGATCAATTTATGAACAAACAGGCCTTTATAAGAAAAAAAGCCCATAACCCATGAACAGAAACAGCTGAATATATAAAATGTATATAAAAATATATAATTAAATTATAAAATTTGGAATCTTCTTCTTAAAGTAAACATGTACCACACATTCTCAATTGGGCAGTAAGTTGTCATGCACGTTACACGTTCCATTTCGAGTCTATAATTGTATGCGGTCCACAAAGAAAATGCAGTATGATTTAATTGGTTTAAAGACATTGAGGCAGTAAGTCTTGGAAACTTCTACAGACTTGTAAGTCTGCGGATTTCGTTTGTTTCTTTTTCTTTTAGAGGAGGAATTGAAACGTTGGGAAAGAAATTTTGATTATTATAACTGAAAATTTCAAATAACAATTTTAAATTAATTCATACAAGATTTGGTCCACATGTAGAGATATTTCACTATTAGCTAATAAAATATATTGAAATTTAAAATAATAATAATAATAATAATTCATGGCTATTTGGTACGGGGAGGAACATTATTGTAAGTGTTTTTATATTTTTTTTTAAAAAATTAAGTTAATATTTTATTAAATATAAATTTAATTAGAGTAACATCAACATATTAAAAATTTTACATAATTTTTTTTGAATTTAATAAAATATTAAATTTAATCAAATTACCATAGTTTAATATTAAAAATACAATTATATTTTTGTATGATAGTACAAATATAAATAATGTTATAAGAAATTTTTATAAAATTAAAAATGATTTTGGACGTGCAAAGTCTTTAATTTAATAATTTTCTAGTATTTTATATTTTTCAAATTTTATATAATGTATATTCATAAATAAATTAAATAATACCTCAATTATTTAAATTTTAAGTTAGGTTTGACATGTATATTCAAACTAGCAAAAATTTTGGTCTCACTGAGGATTTGTAGCATCATGTTCCACACAATTGATGTCATGACTAATTCTAATAATTGAATTATAAAAAAAAAAACATTCATAACTCTTAAAACTATAAGGTAAAATATAATTTTTTTTAAATATTTTCTCTTATATTGATAAAGGTAACATTTGAACAAAGTTATAAGGTACTTTAGGAGCATAATGAGTTTAAAAACTAAATAAATGTAATTGCTTTATTTTAAATTTTTATTAGAAAATTATAGAATAAAAAATTAAATTTTAGTTTTAATTTTAAGAAATTATAGCATTTCGTATAAACAATATTTAAGTGATTGGTTTAATTAATATACTGTAAAGACCGGAACTTAAATAGAAATAAATTCATAAATTAAATGCAGAAGCGAATAATAGAGTTGGAGTTTACATTCTTTACACAATAGTTTTAAAATACCTAAATAGAGCTTTGAGAATATCCATTCTTAAACACAAACGGTAATTAAAGAAAACCGAATAAATAAATATTTTAAAACAACCTTCACTAGTACTTGAAGGGAGTTCGGGTAGTAAACTACTTATAACTTTCTTATTGATTGGGATTTGGATCTTAGTCTTCTTAATCTAAAATGATTAATAAAAGGGTGAATTACACTAGCCCAGTAAGAATATCACACTAATCACAGATACAAAAAACTGAAGATCGGTAAAAGTCAGAAAAACAACTAATGGAGTTCTTAATTTAATGTAAATACATTTAATATAAAAAAAGTCATTTATTCCGTACTTACGTAACGAGCTTTTCCAAAAACAATATATGGAAATTCATATTCATACAACTTTCTATTTTCATGCATATGATGACAAGAGACAATAATCTTTCATTTTTCCTACTTACTGGTACCCCTAGGGATCCATAGAGATATTCTCCTACTCATGAACCCAATATACAATTTAAACAATTAACCAACCGTCCTCATACCCCGTCCAATAGTGGGTGTCAAATATTCCACCACCTTGATACCCCGTCCGGTATGAGATGTCCCCCTTCTCGTAAACCCAATATCCAATTTAAACAATTATCCGGTCGTTCCCATACTTCGTTCGATAATGAGCGCCAAACATTCCACCACCTCGATACTCCGTCCGGTATAAGGTTGAACCATATCTCCCGAACATTACTGGTAAGTGACTTCCCAACTCTGTCTGACTTGAGTAATGTTTATGGCAGGGTTCCCTATGTACTGGGTTTGTCCGCCCTTTTTCAAGTACCCAGTAAGCGTTTCATATATATATTTTCATCAATAAAACAACCAACCACGTAATACCAATATCTCATTGTATAATCACATATCAATAAAATGACATTTAAGTAAGCGATTTAACTTATCATAACCAATAATCGAGTAATCAAATAACTAGATAAATCATGCAGGAATAGACCAAATAACCCAGATAATCGAGACGACTATAAAAACTATCAATATAAACATTCACAATATAATAGTAAGCAATTTAAGCAGTACATGCAAATAAACAAGGAATCATGATAAATATGAACTAACTGGTTCTGCCTCCATTAGTAACCTATAATTATTTTTAAAATTTCTTAATTTTTCATAAAAATACAAAATTGTACATCGTTAAGCTACAATTTACCATAATGAAAAATAAGGTGAGGGATCCTTACGTGGATCGATGTTTCGAGACGTCGCACTGTCTACTATACATCCTAACGGGTACCGGGTTTCTTGAATTTTTCTTTATAGAATTCAAAACACTCGTCACATACCTAAAAATACCTCAGAAATCTAAAATCAGTATCCAAAATTCATTCCGACCAATTTTGGGGTTCCGGCACGGTGCCCCTGCCGTGCTTCAATAGTGGTTCGCCTCGGCCTGGCAGGTTTTAGCCAGTTTTGGTCGTATCCCTGCAGAAAAATACGTTAGGGGCCTCGATTGGCTGGAAAATTACAAAAAACAAAACCTACCGGTGTGGGGGAACCTCCGGGTGCAGTGGCACTGCCGATCCTCCTTCACGACTGAGGTTCTTTCTTCGGCTAACCTGCACATAAAAAGAAATTGAACACAATGATTAAAAAATTACGTAAAATGAGAATCGAGAAGGGGCTCGTCAGAGGGGTTTTGGTCGCGGCAGCTCCGCTGGGCTTTGTCCGTAGTTTTCGGCTCACCCACCGTCCATTTTGCTCTGATTTGACCACAGGGGTGCTTGAAATCGAATTTCGGACGGGTAAGAATTTTTTTTACCTTTTTTGGCGATCGATGGTGGCTCCAGTGCGGCGGCGGTCGGCGGTCGGCCTCTTTCTCCGGCATCTAATTTTTCTTCTCCGGCGAGAGCTGACAGCTACAGTTTGGTTTTCCATGTGATTCCCATTTGATGAGAAATAAAAAAAAATATCAAAAATTCAAGTGGCTGAAGCTAAAGCAACTACTTTCGAAGTAACAAAAAGAAAAGCAACGACTGGAGTGGGAGAATCAGAGTTGAAAAGAGGATTCCTCACTTCTTTCTCTCATTCAAAACTGTGCATGAGACTTTCATCTCGCACGGCTCCTAAGTGATAAAAGTAAAGAAGAACTCATCTTCTTTCTTTTTTTATTACCTTCCTCGCGTATGTATAAGATCAAATCCATTTGATTTCTAAAACGGATTACTAATCCTTAACTTTTCGAGGAATCCTTCATCAGTGGTTGTGAATGACTGATTTTTTTCAATCTTTTCGACTTTGGTTCCGTAAGAGCAAGTCAGAAAGATTGAGAAATAGATGCATTGGTAACTTGACTTGGGTATACATAGAGGAGGAGAGAGGACAGGCCACTACCATAACTTAAACCATGACTTGCTTATTTAAGTATTGGGATTATTGAGCAGAGAAGCACTTAATGATAAGTGAGATTAAAAGGGAATTCACTCAGGAGCCGCCTTCACATGGCATTCTAATCGCTCCAAGAAGCTAGTAAAACAAGCACTCAATTACGGCTTACTACTCATCTTTGAATCTCTTTCATAAGAGGTTTTTTTGAAGGAGCTGAAACATCTATCACGATCGATATCTTTCGTCCGATCATGCCTAAGGAGGAAATGAATCTAGACTGTCCATCACAGTTTGATCTCGGTTGTCTGATCGCGCTTAAGGGAAAAAAAATTTTGGGTCATCCATGCGCGCGGGATCGATCCTGGGCCATCCGATCGCAGGGCATGCAGATAGCCCGCGTGGCCTCCCTCGTGGCACCGACGTTAACGTGCCTTGCAACGTGACGTGATCTGCTTCGTCGGGGTTACTGATTGGGCAGTCCTAAATGGGACAATTTTTTCTATTTGTACTTTGACCTCTATTTCTAATTTTTCTTTCAAAAATATCATTTGAACCCAAATTTTCACTCATTTTTTCCAAAATAATTTTCAATTACATTCCTAACCTATTTTTTCAATAAATTCAACAGAAATTAAATTAGATTAATTTATAAATAAATTTATATTTATTTTTAAATGCTAAAATTGATCCCGGACTAAATTTTGGACCTGGGTATTACAGCTCTCCCCTCTTAAAAAGAAATTTAGTCCCTCAAATTTGTCACCCTCTCAATGAGTCAAATAGTTGAGGATATTGGGCTCTGAAGTCTGATTCTAACTCCCATGTGGCCTCTTTCTGCATGTTAATTTGCCATAGTACCTTGATGAATGAAATTTCTTTATTGCGGAGTACTCTGCTCTTTCGGTCTACAATACCCATTGGAACCTCCTCATAGGATAGATCCT